TGCTGTGCTTGCCACTTGTAGGCTAGTTTTCTTTAATTCAAGGATTAGGCGCCATCGAGGCGACTTAAGAGTCTTCAAGTAGAAAAGCTAGCTACCATTCCCAGGGTTTTGCTGATTTAAATTCTAGTGTGGTTAAGCTTCGCTGAATCCCAGCTACTTCGAACTCTACTGAGGGAAAAAGTTGTCAATGAGGGGGTCAGATCCCCCTCATTGACTGGTGGTTGTGGGCGACCTGACATGGGTGCTGGGAACTACTGAGACTTGTTTCTAAGCACTGGAAGCATTGGTTGCAGTAACTAGGAGTGCTCTATTTTTTGTTAGTGGTATCTAATGATCGGAGATCAGGGTTTTTTTTGATGGCAGTAATCTGCTACTTGATTTTATTTTTTCCTTTTTTTAGAAACAACCTTCTTTTACATGTCAATCTCAGTTCCCTCCCTGACTCCCTATCCCAATCCCTTTCTGCTCCCCAGGGAGGGTGAGGCGTTCCTTGGGGAATCTTCAAAGTCTGTCATATCATTTGGAGCAGGGTCTAGGCCCTGCCCGGTGTGCTGGGCTGAGAGAGTATCCCTCTATGTGGAGAGGGCTCCGGAAGTCCATTCCTGTACTAGGGATAAATACTGATCCACTACCAGAGACCCCACAGATTAACCAGACCTCCAAACTAACATTCTCATTCAGGGGGTCTGGAAGAGTCCTATGCTGGTTTCCCAGCTATCAGTCTAGGGTCCATGAGCTCCCCCTGGTTCAGGTCAACTGTTTCTGTGGGTCTCTCCAGCCTGGTCTTGACCCCTTTGCTCATCACTCCTCTGCAACTGGACTCCAGAGTTCAGCTCAGTGTTTAGCTGTGGGTGTCTACTGCTTCTGCTTCCATCAGCTACTGGATGAAGAGGCTGGGGATTCTTAAGACATCCATACAACTGAAGAGATCAGATAAATCAATAATGTTGAGAAACCCAAAATGTTAGCAATAATTTAAAAGTAAGCCTATGACAGGAAATAAGTGGTTCATGAGGTGGCTGAGGTTGTCACATGCTTTTTGGACTGAGATACCCCACTCCCCTTCTTAACAGTTTGCCACTACCTCTTTTGTCTGTTGGCAACTACTGAATTAGCACAGCAAAGGCAAAAAAGGTTAACATAACTGTTTGACCAACTTGTGTGTTATCTACAGAATGACACAGTAACGATCCGGACCAGGAAGTTCATGACTAACCGTCTGCTTCAGAGGAAACAGATGGTAAGGATGGGCATGTCAAAGTTTGGTGTTCTGTGTCTTAATTTTGAAGATTATTAATGAATACTAATCTGTATTTTTTTTAGGTCATTGATGTCCTTCACCCTGGGAAGGCAACAGTACCAAAGACAGAAATTCGGGAAAAGTTAGCCAAAATGTACAAAACCACACCAG